CATATATTGAATAATTATTTATTATGAATAGCTCATATTGATCGACAAGAAGACACATTAAATAGGATTATATTAAAAAATTAAAAAGCTAACAATATTTTGAATAAGAAAAATGAACTACAATTTGGGATAAATGAGTAAAGAAAGAGAATTTTTTTAAAACCGACATTACGACACGTGGATTTTTTATTTATTTTTATTTTTATTTTTATTTTTATTTTTTTTGTGAAGGTGTTTGCTTTGGGCTATGTGCCGACAAAAGTCACAAATCTGCGACCACTTGTTTAATTATCTCGATTAGCTTCGATATAATAATATAAAATAATAGTACTAAAAAACAAAACAAACATTTCTCTAGTAATAGGCTATCTTGCTATCACAGATTCCAATGAGAGAAAATGAAAAAAATGATAAATGATTCTAGAGTAATTACTGTGTTTTTTATTTTCCAGGACAGCACTAGAATCAGGCAAAAGGACAAAAAAAATTAGCCCAAAAAAGTCTTGAAATGCTATCTTGATATTTTTGGTTTCAAATCCCAGAAGTTCTATTTTTCGGAAAAAAAAAAAAAGAAAGAAAGAAAAAAGAGCACACCCTTTAGTTTTATTTTTCTTGAATATTAAATTCGAGTTAATTTTGAACAAAAATGGTATGCAGAGCTGTGCATTTTTGGAATTTGAGAGATTTAGTGGGCTCTTTTCTTGATCTTGCTATAGCTTACTTCTTACTGTGTGCAGCAACTATTGCTTATTTGGCAACAAAAATTATGAGGTTTTTTGGATTATCCTTACCATGCCCTTGTAATGGGCTGTTTTTCACCACCACCAACAAAAATCACTGCTTGAAAAGGGTTTTAGTTGATTACCCTACCGAATCAATTTCCAGTATTCAACTCTCTGTTAAGCGAAAATTCCCTTTCCATGAGTACTCATGGAGTAAGAATAATTGTACTAGCAATGTTAATGATAATGCTTTGAATAGTTCAGTATCAGGTGCTAGGAGGTTAGGGAATGTAGTTAGGAGGGACTTGAATGCAAGGAGTGAAAAGTATGATGTGAAGGGAAGGGGGGTTCTGAGTTATAGGCCAAGAAGTGGAATGTACCAGAGTCGAAAAGGGGGTATTGTCCGTGGAAATTATTCACCGGTTTCTTTGTATGATACTTCTCTGTATGGAGGAGTTCAGGGTGGTTTTCTGCAGTCTCCTGGCATTAGAAGGGGAGGGAATGAAATTATTGGATGTAGCTCGGTTCCGACTGATAGCTCACTAGATACTCTTCACTTTGAATGTAAGTTCTTGTGGTCTCTTGGATCCTGTTTTCATTTTATTTTTTATTAATGCTAAATTAACTGTTAATGCATCTTGTATTGCAAAATTGTTGTAAAAAACTGTGTGAAGCCTTAGTCGTTCACTGTGACCATAATCTATATTTGTAATTGGAATAACTAGTATCGATTATTGAATGCTAAATATAGGAAAGCGAGGAAAAGAAGAGCCATGATTGCATAATTAAGATTAAAACTGTTAAGGGGTGATTCTTTTGTAAAAAATACGAATATACAAATATATATGACATTTTCTCACTTGTCATTTCGGGTGACTTACAAGTTTGCAATGGAATTTTTCTGCTAAAAAGTAATTCATACGGGGGGATGTTCTACCTACAGGTTTATATGAATGTATACTCTTGGATTACATCCATGATTATATCATCTTTTCTATTAAGTGAGTTCTGTAGACCTGCTATAAGTTATTCCTATTTCATGATATACAGGAACTCATTTGTCTTTAGACTTCTTCAAACATTTTATGCAAACAAGTTAGTAAATTACTAAGTTAGAACCTTGTCATTGCCGTTATTGCATTTTCCTCATCTCTTTGAAGATACGAAATGGTCATTTCTTTTTTATTTGAGAAGACATCTTAGATCTCTAAAAGTGCCACAAGACTAGAATGATAATAAGAACATGTTAATGCTTCTTACCTTTCAATTTCCATTGTTTCCTATTATCTTTATGATATTCAATTTCATTGTGAAAGAAAAGGTGGGACAAAAAAATTCAATATTCTGACTGGAATAGTGTTGCTAGTGTCTGCTATTTGTGGACTCTACTTTTTGACAAGTTTTACCCTTGTAAAATTGAAATCAGTTGACTATGTTATAATAAGATATAATATTAAAGGGCCTGAGTGACAGCTTTTAATAAAAGTTTTAGCTAATTTTGATAAAAGTTGACGAAACACGTGGTTGAAAAGTAGATGAAAATTGTGAGTACCATGAAATATTTGGTTAATATTAGTTTGACTAGTTGAAAAGTTGATAAAATGTTGTTAAAGTTTTATCAAAAAAGCACCAAGTTCTCTCTAGGCTCGTTGGTGTCAAGTCTCAGAATTTCCATTATGCTAATAAAGGATTTCAGCTTTGTGTTCTTATCAGAAATATTTAACACTTACTGAAGTACTCTGGATTACCTTACCTTCAAAAGGCACTTTAGGATATTTCTTAAGTCTGAAAAATGGATCTATTTAGTATTTTTTGTAATGAAAGTGACGTGACATTCTAATGCAACTGGCCAGTGTTTGAATTTAGATAATGAGAAGGCTCTGGCAATGACGGGAGTATGGCAAAATGCTCTTGACGATGTTGAAATGAATAGATTATCTGACGAGGATATGTTCATGAAGAAAAGACTATCATCTATTGAAGGGGAGCTACTTGGTAAGGCAAGGGGGGATCTTGGTTTCAGTGTTGATGAGAAAATTTCAATTGAACTTTTGGAAGAAGTTGTTAAAGAAGAGCATGCTGCGCGTGCTGCTCTTTACCTTGAGCTTGAAAAGGAGAGAAGTGCTGCTGCCACTGCTGCAGATGAGGCTATGGCTATGATTCTTCGACTGCAGGAGGAGAAGGCTTCCTTAGAAATGGAAGCTAGGAAAAATCAGAGAATTATAGAAGAAAATGCTGCTTATGATGCTGAAGAAATAAGCATTTTAAAAGAAATACTGGTGAGAAGAGAGAGGGAGAAGCACTTTCTGGAAAATGAAGTTGAGGCATATAGGCAGCTGATTTGTCCTGAAAATGAGCAGTTAGCTGGTGATAGAGGGGATAAAATTCAGTAGAAGACAAATTTTCCATTTTTCACTTGATCTAGATGACCTTGTTCTCATATTACACCAACGTACCTCTACTGACACGAATGTAATGTTAGAGGATAGATGTCCGGATGAGGTTGAATCTGTCGATGATCAGAACTTGTGCACTTGATTTTGGGATGAAAATTTCCAATTCAATGCTGAGATGAAAATTTCCAATTCAGGTGCTATAGAATTGTCAGTATGCAATATAGTGATGGCAATCTTGAGCTACAGTAAAAGGAGATGATATCTATAGATAATAACTTATACGCGCTGCCATGATACCCACACGAACTAAACTTTACTGAGAAAATCTGGAAAGTGACGACATCTACCTAGGACAGAAATTTGCGGCAAGGGATATTTTTAACTAGTAATATAACAGTCAGGCAGGCTATGTATATTATGCACCTAGTTCAAAGCTGCATGAAAAATATGCACATCATGAACTCAATGATTCGTGTAATCTTGTTTTAGAAAAAAAGACTTGTGTTTATGGAGCTCATGCGATGTCTAACGATCTAATGTAAGAAAAAGTGAACAGCTTTCAGTCATTGATAGATTAATGAGAGAAATTCTGTTTCATGTTGGAATTTATTTATTTATTTGTTGTTCAAAATCAAGAAGCAAAAAAAAATAAAAATAAAAACTTAACCATGCGAATGCATGGATTAAGCCCATGCGGTCGCATGAGGCCCTCTCGAGAATGGGAGGGCTGGCAAAGCTATAGTCATGTGACCGCATGGCTATAGCCTATGTGGTCGCATGGTTGATATTTGTGATCGTTGTGAGCTGTTTTTGACCCTTTTTTATTTGAAATTAGTGGTTTTTCATCCTTGTTTTGCACAATTTCATGAAAAACTTGCCAATGCCTATAAATAGGTGATCCAAGTGTAAGAAAGACATATTGAGTTCTATTGAAATTTATCCCCCAAATTATACTTCTAATACTGAGAAAATTTATCACATAATTCGTCCATTTTTCACTTGTTCATTGTGAAGATACACCTTTGCTTTTTGGTGTTTTTCTTATCAAGGTTTGTTTAATCCTACAAATTATTTGCCGAAAATCCCTAAAAAGCATTGGGAAGGAAGCAAATAACGTTTGAGGACAGCTAAATTAATTTCGTGTTTAAGCCTTCGTTGATATACTTATATAATTTTCTTCTCCATTGCCATTATTTTTTCAACATTTCATTTGAAGCTTCTGCAGTGAGGAGTGTGAACGTTGTTACTAATATCAAAGTATTCACCTCCAGAATTCAATGATTCATCTAAATCTAATTTCAGGTAAAGACTCGTGTTAGTGTTCATGCTATCTTGAACAAGATAAACATAAGTAGAAGTGGTCAGTTTTCTGCCCGTGATATTCAAAAGTTCATGAGAGAAATTCTGTTTCATTTGAAGCTTCTGTAGCGAAGATGGTGAATATTTCTACTGATTGTCTTAATTACCAGAGGGCTGGACACTAAAGTTGATCTGAATGGAAGCAGTTCAGACACAAGAAGTGAGCTTCCGTCAATGTGCCCAGGGAAATCAATTCTGATTTGCGGCAGAGTTCCATTTCTGCAGTTGATTGTGAAAAGGTCAAAATAGACTTCGAAGTTGGATGGCCCTGAGAAAGGCTAAGTATTGTGCAGGAAGGAAAAAAGAAACATAGACAAACAGTGGGTGGAATTTTCAAGTAAGTGTATGTTTTGTTCATGCAGACTGTATCGACCATTAAAGGAGATATTTTGCAGGGACAGGTCTTTTTCTTTATTTATTTATCGGTAAATGTGAAATTCTATTGATTAAAAATCATATACAAATACACGAGGCATACCTGCGCAAACAACATTCAAGTGAAGATTAAAAATACATTGGGCATATCTGGGCAAACAAAATGAAAGATGTACAAATGATAATAGTTATGAGCCCAATGCTAAAGACTCAAAATGGTTTAAAACATGAACATGACTTTGTATACGTATGCTTTAATCCGTCTAATAATACAATCAACTTGGGGTCTAAGGTTCTCAAATATCCTCTTATTTCGCGCCATCCATATGTGGTAAACTGTAGCAGCTAAAGCAATTCTCTTGACCTTACTTTGCCAAGCCGTTCCCCAAGCTTCCTTCTTCACCCATTTCAATGAGCTTGATAAAGTAGGCATATTACGTGTGATGGCTGGCCAACTGCAAATCTACCCCGAAACTGAAATTCAGAAGTTGCCTGAACGCTAAATCTATTGCCACAACCCATTTGGCCAGCTTGTGCATTCTTGCCTGAACGCACCGTTCAGGTCCCATGATGCTGTCCCTGATTTCCAACAATTTTTTAAGCAGGGGAGAGTTGTCTTTTCTCACCATGCATTCCCAAATGATCGACAGGTCTTTTTCTTAGTCAGATGGAAAGTTACGTGGCCAGGCAGGCAAAGATAAGCTGGCAAACTGAGGTTAGATTGTCTTTATCATAAAAATACTTGGTTTTATCTCTGTCCATACTATCCTCCCTTTGCATGCATGTCAAGCCAGTCATCAAAGACTACCAGCACACTTGACAGCAAGCCTTACAACTGCAGGATTAGGATCTGTCTAGCATTGGAAAGAGATGGTATACGGTTGAACTTCTGGAGGATAAACCACCCCAGATTCCAGGAGATTTGACGGCTAGCTAGCAGAACCTGGAAATGCTGCAAGACAGGCTTCCTTTCCCAGTCCAATCTCTAAGATGTGCTGTTGGTATTTCATATCCCCATTTGTTTGAATGTTATGCGATGCGTACTTGGACATGGTTAGAATTTGAATATAATTGGAATAACATTGCCATCCACAGGTGTAAAGCTATACTATGTTACATATTTGGTGAGAGTTTTCATATTTCGTGAGAGTTTTCAAGATTGATACAATATTGTTATAATTCACACAAATTTACAACATTTTGAGATGAAAATATATATTCGAAATTGCTGTCATTCCAGAAAAGTATTCATAAAAGACTTGGATATTCTACTGTAAGTTTTTCACTATTCATCAACAATTCTATTACAATATTTCATTAAGTGAATTTTCTTCATTTCATATTAAATTAGTTATCAGAGTGATGTAGGATGAGGGATGATTCCTGCAGCATAATTAGAAATAGCAAAATAGCACAACTAGCAAGTAGAATTCTAGCGAGAAGAAGAAGAAGGCAGCAAGAAGGGGGAAAGGGCCGGAGGGAAAGGGGGGAGAAAACCAGAGAAAAAGTAGAAATCAGGGGAAATGGGAGAAAGAGGAAGCCATAGGCAACAACCCAAGCATTCTATTCTTTAATTCATCAATTCACTAACTATCTCAAATACGCAACAAAACAAAAATAAATAACAAAACAAAAACCCGAAAGAGAAGGGCTTGTGCCAAACCCGCTAAACAAGCACAATAACAGAAATATAAATAATAATCTAAATAGAATATAACTAATAGTCCAAATAGAAAATAAATAGTAAATAGATGTTTGCATCAACTCTCTCGGGGTGGGAGAAAAACTCAACCCCGTCGAGTGGATAAATCAAAATGTTGCAATGAATCTGATGCTAAAGGCTCCAAGTCATGCCATGGGGGACGATCTTTCTGATGAACCAAATATCGAAATTCCACAAATGATGACGATGCCAAATGCAAATTACCTGCAAAAACATGAGCTGACCAAGATAACTTAGGCGAATGAAAATTTTGCTGACTCTTATAAAGCTCCAATGAATTTGGCTCACGCCGCTGAAGTCTCTCTTTGGGAATCGATGTACCGTCAGAATCAAGTCGATCCATCCAACGAACAAGAAAGCACTGAATCTCTCTATCATTGGTCAACACAAGCTGTTCATCCAAAATAACATCAATTTTATTTTTGTGTGTTGTGATAGGTAGGATTGAAGCAGACATGGCAAAAGATTCAGTGTGGGAATTCTCATGTGGGAGTAGAAACGGGTCATCAAAGGGGCTAAAATAACCGTTGTAAGCATCGAAGTCCGTAACAAATAAAATAGGTGGTGGTCATAATGTGATAAAAGGTCATTGACATAGGCATTTTGACCAACATGCTTTGAAATTTTAAAAAGATCAGCATTACACGCTTGCAATATAACATAATCCCCAATATTAAATTCAATGTATTGTTTATGCCAATCAACTTGAGGTTTATATAATGCTTTACTTGTTTCAAATTGTTTATTAATCTCAATATGCAAGCTATGAAAATGTGATACAACTACCTCAACTGACATAGACACACAAGCATGTGGGTGCATGAGAATAAGGTCTAGAGGTTTCAAAGGTTCACAACCAAGAATAACTTCAAAGGGTTTTAGACCTAAAGACCAGTTCACAGGATCGTTATATGCAATTTGAACAGTTGGAGGGATCAAGTCCCAATTCCCAAGATTTTTCTGGACTAGAGACTGTAATAAATTGTCAGGATTTTGGTTAACACTTTTGTTTTGACCATCAATTTGAGGTTGGTCAGTGGTGGATAATTTTGCCTTAGTATTAACCATAGGAGACTAGATTTTCCAAGGGTGACTGGTGACATCGTCAATCTCTTTAACTTGGGTAAGGATATGACATATAACATGTGATCGAGAATTGTCAGAGATAAGGGGTATAGTATCCAAAGTCTTGGGAAGAGTCTGGATTCCACCTAAGGAAGTGTCCTCACTATCATCCAAGTCATCAAAATCTTTAAGTTTAGGTTCATAGACTAGATCTTCCAATGGCTCCTCTATTACATTCTTTCGTTCTTTCATGACTAAGGTTCGATTAGGACATTTAGAAGAAATGTGACCAAAGTCTTTACAGTTGACGCACAACAAGTGAGAAGAAGACTTTGGAGTTTCAGAAATTCTACCCTGATTTTCCAAGATTAGAGAACAATTAGAAGGGGGAGGTCCTAGAAGGGACTTAACGGAAGGAGGTGGAGCTAATGAAGCCAAATGATGATTATAAAAAATTTTACCCTTATTTTTCAAAATTGGAGGAACATCAGATGGGGGAGGTCCTATAAGGGACTTAACGGGAGGAAGTGGAGCCAGTGACACTGAAGGATGATTGTCAATATGCTTTCCACCTGGAGAAGAAGATCTTGGACTATCACGACCTTTACAATTATTTTTCCAAATAGGAGGAACATTAGACGGAGAAGGTTTTATGATAGACTTATGATGAGGCGACGCTAATGAGATGGGTGAACGACGATGACCACGCTTTTCATATGGAGTACTAATAATCAACTCATAATCTTGAGTTAAAGAGTAAGCGTGATTAAGAGTAGTGACACCTCGAAGGAAAAGCTCGCGCTTAAGATCATCTCTCAGACCTTGGCTAAACTTACTCAAAGTCGTGCTCTCATCTTCAATTAAATGACATTTGGTTCGAAATTCCTCAAATTGCGCGATATACCCAGTCACTAATTGATTTCCTTGTTTAAGGGCATTCCATTGAGTAAGAATTTCAAAATTATCTCGTTCTCGCTCACAAATTTGATCCCTATTCCAATTCCTATCCTTACGATCGGGTCAAAAGTATTTTTGATTACATTGTCGACGATGTTGTCTATTATGGGACACCTTCGAATTATCAACATCAATTGAATGAGGGATGCGTTTAAAATTTTTCAAACTAACAGATAGGGCCTTACTCTCTTTAAGAGTAGCGGTAATTTGAGTTTGAATAGCCACTATTTGTCGGGTGAGTGCATCGAATTGTGAGGGGTTCATGTTTAAGGTACTAGAGCTAGAAACGACAAGATGACCAATATATAACTACATGCACTGTAATAACAACTTAATGACATGCAACAGAGAGATCAACGAATAAAAAGTGCAAGTAATGGAAAATGAAAATTTGAACTATTTCCTTTTTTTCTAAAATTTAAATTTTGGGATTAAAATTATATACAACAAGCTAGTATTGTTGGTATATGTAAAATAATAAAGCAATGGTCAAATACTAGTCAAAACCTAATCACGTAAAATAAGCAGGTTAAAGTGAGATTTAACGAGGTCAATGGATCCAATTACGTGAGTTTAGATAAAAATAGATCAGCAGCAGTAGCACAAAGATTTAATTGATGCAATTTCAAAATGAAACAGTAATATAAACCAACAATAAATAAAAGCAAGAACTTCTCTTTCGTTCGTCGAAGTAGTCAAGCCAGATCAACCAGAATAAAAGATATACCTGTAAATAATAGAAAAGACGTTTCTTCTCTTTTTTATTTCACTTTTTTTTTCACTTTTTTTTTTGGAATTGCAAAAAATGATAAATAAAAAATAAAAATAAAAAGAAATTTCGGGTGTGAACAGTACCCGTGAACAGTAACGTTTTTTTTTTTTTGCAGAAAAATCTATAAAAAAAAACTGAAATTCCGGGTGTAAACAGTACCCCCGTGAATAGTGACTTTTTTTTTTTTTTTGCCTAATCAACCAGAAAGAAAATTGAACAAGAAAACTGCTGTTTCATAACAATTTTTTTTTGTTTGTGCTGTTCCACAAGTTTTTGGGAAGATGATAAAAAGAAAGTTTTGGATTGTGGATGAAAAATTACCCAAGTTTTGGCTCTGATACCACTTTGATGCAGGATGAGGGATGATTCCTGTAGAATAATTAGAAATAGCAAAATAGCACAACTAGCAAGTAGAATTCCTGCGAGAAGAAGAAGAAGGCAGCAAGAAGGGGGAAAGGGTCGGAGAGAAAGGGGGGAGACAACCAGAGAAGAAGTAGAAATCGGGGGAAAGGGGAGAAGAAGGAAGCCATAGGCAACAATCCAAGCATTCTATTCTTTAATTCATCAATTCATCAACTGTCTCAAATACGCAACAAAACAGAAATAAATAACTAAACAAAAACCCTAAAGAGAAGGGCTTGGGTCAAACCCGCTAAACAAGCACAATAATAGAAATATAAATAATAATCCAAATAGAATATAATCAATAGTCCAAATAGAAAATAAATAGTAAATGAAAGAAAATAAATAGTAAATGGATGTCCGCATCACAAAGTTTTTAACATTTTATTGAGATATGTGATATTTTACGTATATGAATGAAGCCTAATCAATTAGCATTTCAATACAAGTATCTAATACAAGGAAGAATATACATTATCTTTGCAATGCAAGGGAAGCTGGAAACTTAATTATGGAATACCTTGTAACCAGTGTTCCAAAAAGTGGAGTGGGCGCAAAATGCCCTGCCTCGGACTTTTATTTTATTTTTTCCTTTTTTCTTTTTCAATATAGTATTTAAATGTTTGGTAAGTATTATTTCAATTATGAAATGATTTTTAAATTGATTAAAAACTTAAAATAATATGAATATTGCAAATTGTTTTGTTTTACACTTTTAACGCCTAGGCTCTCCTAGCCAGAAGCTTGGCCTCCATGTGTTGTTTTCCTTTTGGAAGCCTAGGACAAGCAAAATCATAAAGTTCTCCTAATATTTGGTTTGCCAGTTCAATTTGCATCACAAATCCATAGATTTTTAAAAGGACTTCGAGCCAAAAGTTTAATAGCATAATCTATTGTCCATTTTAGATGGCACAATATTCTTTTAACGGCTCAAATATCTTCTTCGTTAGGACTTTGAAGACATTGACTGCTTAAATTATGTCATGCCGAGTGCATGTCAAGTAATGTAGGGCTCTCACAATACTTCTATATACTTGGACATTGATCTCCTTCGAGTCTTGTGAAGCGGCTCTTGATTGAGTGCCATGGGTGTGTTGCAATGAGAACTCTCTAGCATTCTAGCTCGACTTAAGAAAGTGAATTTCCTTTAGATAAATACTTCACTTCTATCTAAAGGAAAAAAGGCAACTGGCTTAAATCTTTTAGAATGACTTCTAAAC